TCATAAAATTGAACCTGCTTAATGAGAATGATTGAAAATTTTTGTAATTTTATCACAAACATTTATATGTTGCTTTATAACATCTAATTTTACAAGATCTGCGACTATTAAGTTAATAGAATATGCTGCACATCTAATATCCTAAATATAAGGATACATTTTCTCCATTTTTTTACGAGCAAAATGATAAGCTGAAGCTGTATCTGTAATAACAGCCGCAAATTTATCTGATCTGACCTTTTCTATAATAGTTAAAATTTCATTGGCAAGAAAATGTTCCTGTATGTAAGTTAGCTGAATAATCATTCAATGCTATTAAATATTTCTTTCTTAATAATGTGAATACAATAAAATTATATAATGATTTGTTTCTTTTAGAAGACTAACCATCTAAAGCTAAAATTAAATAAATAAATTAATTTATTAATACATTATAAAATGCCAATTTAAGATTTCAAAAGCAAATAATATATTTATTAATATATATTAAAAAAAAATATACAAAATAAAATAATATGTATACATATATAAAAACTATGCTAAATATTCTATAAAAAATTAGTTTAAATTTAAAATTTTCTAAAAATTTAAAGTTAAATAATATTCAATCTTACTTAGCGTTAAATTATCTGTAAAAGCTAACTCTTTTTCAATATTAAGGCTTACACATACAACTTCTTGATCCAAAAATCATTCTGATAAAGTTGTTTTTGAAGGAAGTATATATCCAAAATTAAGTTCTTTAAAGAGATCAATAATAAAGGGATTTTCTATTACTTCAAAAGGTATTCTAGCTATGACCTATGCTTTAAGTAAAAAACGATCAATCTGTTTTGTAATTGCAAATGGCAATTCCTTATCAGATCCAAAATGCTCCATAATAGTTTGTTGTTTAAGTGATAGTTGAAAAGTTGAAACTTTTGGTGAATGTGTATAAGCAGTTTTTTCTGAAGCAAATTTAATTCGCCAAAATTTATTTATATCTTCTAAACATTGCAAACATTCATTTATAAGATGTGCTTTAAGTTTTGCAGGTTTCCTTCTCGCTTAGAATTTTGAACAATAATAACATACTACTGAATAATGCCTATCATTAATTTCTTTTCCTTTCTTAAAATAATCCTAAACTTCATCACATTTTGGTCTACCTTTATTTTTTTTTAGTTTTTTAAAAGGGTTTTTACTTTCTAAAAATGATTCATGTTTTTTGGAAGAGGTTTGTATTTCTTATATTTTCTCTCACATTTTTTCTTGTGTATCTTTCATGCTATAAAAAAAAGTGACTTAGTAACTTGAATAAATAGATGATCGATCAATGGTAATATAACATCTTACAGTTATGACATTATGGCATATATCATATTATATGGCATACGTCATATAAAATAGCATATGTCACATGATACGATATATGGTAATATCACATTACTATACCGTATGCCATATAAATATCGTAACCTTAAGATAATGATATGTTTGCACTCTTAGTTTTAATCTTCAGTTTTCTCTTTAGAATATTCAAATAGGAGTTCTTTGATACAAATGATGGAATTAGATTCAAATTGCTTTGTAAGATCTCTACTAAAGGTCTCAAGCTTCTCATTCATGTTAAATTATTACAGTTACAGAATCTTAATGTCATTCCTTGTAGCCTTTTACTACCTTTACTTCTATTGCAAATAGAGCTCATAAATGAAGGATTTGCTTATAGTAAATTCTGAATTTAGACT